TGGCCAGGATAAAAGCCATAGCTTCTCTCCTTGCCCTTTTCAGGAGTAGTGGCAAGAATGTGCAGGAGCCCTCTATGTCCCCTGAGCGTGTAGCTACTAGGCTGATATTGGTGAGTTCCTTATTGGGGTTTGTCTTGATTACTTTTCTCTCTTTGCTGGAACAAAATACCTGACGCCCAAAATTAAGGAAGGAAAAGTTTATTTAGCTCACAGTTTGTGGAGGTTTCAGTCCATACTTGGCTGGCTCCAAGGTAGAGTGGCACCTAGCAGAGGGCAACAGTTTATGGCTACAGAAGACAGCAAAGCAACAAGAGCAAAAGGGAGGAGGGGCAGCAAACAAGGCTCTTTCCCTCACTTATATTGTGTGTAGGATATCCACCCTGCTTCCCCCAGTGCAGGGTGGGTGTAGCATTCACACCCATAATCCCATTGGACCATGAGACAATCAAAAACTAGAAGCCTGCCCCATGACTGAATGAGGCTTTGGGGAACATCTAGACACAAACTATAACAGGGTTTAAATTTGCTTTTATTTTAGCTAATAGTCCTTGGTTCATTCTAAACTGGTTGTTTCAGATTATTTGTCAACACTTAGTTTTGCTGGAAATTAATGTTTGCCTCTGCCACCTTCATTCCTCAACCAGAAAAAGGAGGTTTTGACCACAGTGCTTGCCTCTGTGTTTTTCTCAGTGGAGAGGGTTGTGCCTAAACTTGTTTCTTTTTTACATGATAGAGGCCTTGAGCAATGAAGACAGGATAAGTTGTGTAAACTTCTGCCAAGCTATGTCTAAATTTTAGCACAATGGGAAATATCTTAAAACCTGCAGCAAAACCTTTTTAAATTGACTAAGCCCTATTGTGAAGTAGAAAGAAAAAAGTGTCACAAAATTTCAATTCATATCAATTGGGTCAGCAATCTCCTTTGTGGTATTTATTTTTCACATTTCTACTATCAGGAAGCTTACCTTTAAATATCCATTTAGGATTAATCATTGTTTAGGATTGTGAAAAGGAATGTCATGCCAGTAGTATAATTTTTTGGGAGCTGGTAAATGGTAAGTCTTTGTTTTGTGTGTACTGGTGTGTACGTGTGTTTTATGTGTTATGTCTGCGTGTACTGGTGTTTGTATATTGTGTAAGTGGTACCAGACTATTACAAAAATAATTAAGAAAGCATAAACCCAAATGCCTTTTAGCCCACATGAGTTAAGCAAATGTTTAAAAGATAATATGAAGATGTGTTCAGAACAATTAAAATGCATATTCCCATGTTAGCCAACCAGAAAATATACTTTAGGAGCCTGACTTTTCTTTCTTTCTTTCTTTCTTTCTTTCTTTCTTTCTTTCTTTCTTTCTTTTTCTTTCTTTCTGAGGATAAAAAAAAATAACAAAATAACAACAACAGAGACAGAAACAAGACCACACAAAAACAATAAAAAATGATACAGGATTTCAAAATAAAATGGTAGGAATTAATAATGGTTGGTATATTACATATTATTATTTTCAACGAAGTTGCTCAGATTACATGTAAGAATGCAAGATTGATGAAACAATTAAAGAGAATAAAAACTTTCAAAAGGGAATTTTCAGTTTCATGAAGGTTACAAGAAAGACTGAAGAACACAAGGGAAATGTAATTAACATTTGTGGGTTTGTTAGGATCTTAAGGTCTTTGGGAATCAGAATAGTTTGAACATTGAGATCTCAGCCCTACTCACCTCTAGGTGGTGAGATGGTGAGGCAAATAGATGCTTCCATCTCCTCTGAACTAGCTTTGAGTAAATCCTCTTCCTTTTTACCAAATAAGAAATCTCCTTTGATTTGGTCAGTGTCAAATAAACTACACTGAGCATATGAAACTAGATGGCTGGTAACAATAATGTGGCATACATTTTAATACAACACTGGCTGGGTATTCTTGTATTTGAGTTTAAATTCTTTATGAAATGTAGCAGGAGTCACCGTGAAGGCTGCTTCTAGTAGAAAGGGACTTGAGAGGCAGTATTTTGCTAGACATTGGTTAAAAGAGTTATGGTTTATAGCAAGAAGTGCTTTTAAATCCCCGATTACCCTGAGGGAGGAGGGTGGAACAAAACATTTGACAAGGAGGGAAAGTTACAAGCACCAGAGTCAGTCCTACCAAAATAAGCAGAGCTGCAGAGTTTATGAAAGGGGGTTCTTATGCATGATTACTTAAAGGAAAAAGCCCTTCTAGCAGGTATAATGATTAGATGTCTCCCAGCTTTGGCTTTCTTTTGTATTCAGCTTCACAATTTTTAAGGCCACTTGGTCAGGCTTGTTTTGCTAGCAGTCCTTTGTTCATTTTATATCGGCTGTGCTTCAGACTATTTGTCAAAACTTCTGTTGGCTGGAAATTAATTTTTTTCCTGCCACCTTCATTCCTCAACTAGAAAAATGGAGGGATTTGACTACAGTGGCTTGACTCTGTGTTTTTTTTTTTTTTTACACAATAGATGCCTTGAGCAATGGAGCCCGGGTAAGATGTGTAAATTGCAGACCAGCTATGTCTCAATTTTAGCATGGAAATGCTTTGAAACCTAGACCAAGAACTTTTTGAATTGACTAAGACCCATGATGTGGTACACACACACACCTCACACACAGAGCTTCAGGAAATTTAAACTCAGATTAATTGGGCAAACAATCTTTGAGTTGTGTATTTCTCACATTGTTAGAACCAGGAATCCTACCTTCAGGCATCTAACTTAGGTTTAAATATTGTTTAGGATTATAAAGATCTAACGTTCTAATAATGTAACTTTTTAAAAGCTGGTAAATGATACCTAAATATGTGTTTTATGTGTACTGGTGTGCATATATATATTATAAATTATGTCTGTGTGTGTACGTGTATTTCTGTATTGTTTAGATGGTATCAGATTAACTTAAAAATAAAAGTACTTAGTAATTAACAAAGCCTAAACCCAAGTGATTTTTTAAGGCCATGTGACTTAAACAAACATTAAAAAGATGACATAAACTTTATGTTTAAATTAACATTCATATTGCCATGTTAGTCAGAATTACATTTTAGGTGTTTGTTATTCTAAAGAGAACATTAGCTTTGCAAAAGTTATAAGAAAGACTGAAGATCATAAAGGAAATGTAATTAAGATTTTTGAGTTTGTAGTATCTTATGATCTCTTGGGAATCAGAAGCAGTTGAATATAGAGATAATGTGGCACACATATTAATATAGCACTAGTTGAGTGTACTTTCATTTAATAGTTTAAATTGTTTAGCTTCTAAAGATATTATATAGCAGTAGTAGTGTGAAGGCTACTTCTAGTACGAGTGGAGGCAGTATTTTACTAGACACCTGTTAACAGTGCTATGATTTATAGCAGGAAAGGCTTTAAAGTCGCTGACTGTTGCGGGTGGTGGCAAAGTGCATTAAGGTGAGGAGGAAGTTGTAAGCATCAAAGAGTCACTTGTGTGTCAACACTACAAAAATAAGTACAGTTGCAGAGCCTGGGAAAGGTTCTGATACCTGATTGCCTTCTAGCAGGTGCAATGATTAGGTATCTCTTGACTCTGGTTTTCTTTCATACTGGACTTCACAATTTTTAGTGATATTCATTCAGGCTCAAACATCTGATTTCCCTTTGCTTGTGCTCCAGCTACCTTCGATGGAATCTATGGATCAATCCAATGTGAGACAGCCAGTCAGAGGATGTGGTACCACAAGGCCCTCAAAATTGAAGGCTGGACTAAAGCAAGTGGAGTGTTGTAACTGGCAGTGCAAAATGTATTTTTAAAAGTTGGGCTTTTTTTTTTCTTTTGGGAATAAGCAACTTCTACAAACTTTCTCCTGACGAGCACATGACCAACACTGGCTTCACTTTTCAGTCCCAAAGCAGTGACAGAATATGCAGATACCGGCCCCATATGGCTGAAGTCAATTTCCTTTACACAAAATAGGGGGGAATGATCTGATAACAGCTGAAAGAAAAAAAGCAAGTGTGTAGATCTTCATTATTTCTCTGTGTTCCCCCTCCCCTATGTTTCTTACTCTGAAAGAACCTTATCCACCTATACATGGTGAGATGGTATTTAAGGCAAATGGGTCCCTCCATCTCCTCAGAGATATCTGTGAATAAACCCTTTTCCTTTGTTTTGTAAAGCAAAATAAAAGGCCCCCTTTGCACTGGTCAACAATGAGCAAACTAACATGAACATATGAATCCAAGTGCCTGGTATCGATACTGGAAGAGCAGTTTAGGGTAACTATAACACCCAGTGAAGGACCAAGTGTGTGAAAGAGAATTTACCATTTACACATAGTTTTCTGTTCACATAATAGCACAACGGATGTAGAGCTGAGTGTGGAAGGAATGAGTGGAACAGAGAAAAATTTTAAGGTTATGAAACTACTCTGTATACAAAAGCGCCTGCCTGGCAAGCGCAAGGTCGTGAGTTCGGTTCCTGGTACCGGAGAAAAACCAAAAAAAAAAAGAAACTACTCTGTATAATACCATGATGGTAAACATATGTCATTGTACATTACAAATGTATATTTTCCCAAACTTATAAAATATATTGCACTGAGTGAACTCTAATATAAACTAGGGACTCTGGGTCATAATTACATATCATTAATTGTAATGAATGTATTATTGCAGTGGGGAATGTTGATATGGTTAAGTTGAATGTATGGGGAAGCAGAATGTATGGGAACATCTATCTTCCACTCAGTTCTACAGTGAATTTAACATTGCTCTAAAATGTACAGTCTGTCAAGAAGAAAACAATGAAGGAAAATAATGTAGAGATATTGGGAGGTTTGTCTTTTTTCTGCTGTTAGGAAAAGCATGAAATTATTTCCACTTGGAGGAAAACTAAGAATTTTTAAGACTAAACTTCACAGACAGTGATTCAAACAATGTTAATGTGATAAGTTATAATGAATACAAGTGAGATAAAAACACAATTGTTTTGTACTTAGGTATTAATATTTTTATTTACACTCCTTCTAGATGAAAGGAAAAAACTGCAGCAACTGGTCTCCATGGAAAGTTTTCCTGGCTTGTCTTTTGGCATGTGTGATAACAACAGCCATTGGAGTTCTCATATTATGCCTGGTAAACAATAAAGGAAATAATTCCACCATTATTGTTCAGCTACCCACAAATAATGGAGAACCTGCAGCAGCCCCTGCAACTTCTCAGTCTACAGTGACCACCACTTCAGCTCAAACTACAACAGCAACCACTTCAACAGGATCTACAGCCTCTGCAGTCTCTGCTAGTACCACACCAGCGACAACCTCAGCCATCACTTCAACTCAACCCATAACCACGGCAGCTGCAACTTCTGCCACAGGATCTACACCTGTTGCAGCATCCACTGGAGCTATAGCCACAACAGTCTTAGCCATCGCTTCAACTCAGCCTGTAACCACAACAGCTGGAACACCACATGAAGGCACAGTCTCCACATCTGCCACAGGATCTACAGCTACTGCAACATCCAGTAGAGCTATACTTCCAGTAGCTTAACATCTTCCCACAACAACCCCAACTTTGAGTGCAGCCACAGCTGCCACCTCTGCCATAGGATATACAGTGGTTGCAGCTGGTACTCAATCTACAACTTAAATCACCACAGCCATCATTGCAATTGACTCTACCCCTCAATTTAGTTTACAACCATAACAGCTACTTTATCACTTGAAGTTGAACCACAGTTGCCACCTACCAGACTCTACAACTGTTACATCTTCAATAAACTTAGCTGACAGCTGACCCAATCACCATTTCCCATCTTTTCAATGGTGCTCACAACTATGCTCATGTCTAAGCCTATAACAAATACTACTTCCACCTGCGCTACAAATAATGTGACTTCTACTTAGCAGTGCTCACCACTCTCCTTCAATAACTTACAATCTTCGCTTATTCATTTGCACCTGCAATCACAAAGCCTGCGCTTGTCGTTTTTTAACAGAACCAACATCCATCACTACAATGATCTCTTCTATATCAAATTAACCATTAATTATCACCACTACAAATAAACTGACAGCTACAACCCACACTGACTTTCCCCAAAGCTAAAATTATAGCTTCCACTGGTACAGTAACTGAATCAATATCATTGTCATTACTTATATTTTCTTTTCATCATCATTAGTATATTGTACCTGCAGTAATTATCATGATGCTACTTGAAGAACAGTAATTTTACCATGAATAATGAAATAATTACCACAGTTTTCATGAAATCAACACTTAGGATTTCTGGAACTATTAAAGCTGGGTTATTTTTATAATTAAGCTATGGGAACTTGATCTTGAAGTAGTAGCTTGAAGATCTATAGCTTGAAGTAATGTAATTTCATCTAGAAAAAGTGATATATTAGAAAAAGCAATCAATTTGTTCACTTAGGAACTAATTAAGAAATTTTATATAAAGCTTTACATAAAAACTATCAATTTATCTTTTAATATGTACCAGTTTCAGTTCACAACATTGTGTTTTACTGTACAAAAATTATAGGCATAGTGAACAGAAATTTTATACCCAAAAGATTTAAATAAATTTATGTGGAAAATATATGTAAGAATCTATAATAATTGTTTCTTCTATGGTAAAACTTGTTATATTTTTGCAATTTTTTTCTTATATTGGTAATTGCCTTTTAATCAAGTATCCTATTTGCACTAGTATTACAGAAAGTGTATTTGGGCATTTTGAAATTGTATTTAAAAACTAAATAATTAATTACCTGCAATCTTGAAAGTCATTCAATTAAATGATATTTAAGTCCGTACTATGTGCTAAAGCACTGAAAATGTGCAGAGAAAGTAAATAGTCATTCACGTGAAACAGTAAATTATTAATTTATGCTGTTAATTTTGATTCATAATAATTCTGAGAGATTAAATTACAATTGATGAGGCCCCATACTTACTAAATTAGGATCTTAAGTTGGAACTAGCAATCTATCGCTGAAAAAAACCTTCATAGAAGTTTGTTATGTTCAGGAAATTTTGACACCCAAAAGATTTAAATAAATTTATGTGGAAAACATATGTAAGAATTTATAAGTATATAGGTCATGTATTCTTTTATAAGTATAAAGGTCATGGTGTAATGATATTACTTAAATTGAGGCAATTTATAATTAAAATATTAAAAATCATGTTCTAGAATCATGTTCCAAACATATAAAAAATCATAGATCTAGCTAAGTATGAAAATTCACTTAACCAAATCAATATAAGATCAAGAGGAGGATATTTTACTTACCAAATAGTAAAGAAATATTTTTAGGAAAAACCTTAAATTTTGTTTCTGTGCAAAGTTTAAATCATTTACTCTCTAAAAGAAGAATCTGTTAATTTTACTTGCTGAGTTATGTTAGTTACGCATTCTTAGAAATAAAGATATTTAAGTAACTGTATTGATTTGGAATTGAAATAATGCATATCGGTGTTCATTTCTCGCCTACATACTTTGATTAATAATATCAGATATTTAAAATATCATTGATTAGGCAGTTCAGCTTCTGATTTGGAGTTACTGTTACCTAATCATTTCAGAGCTCTTCTGATCACCAGAATAATAAGTGATCTAAGATTTATACATATTTGTGAATAAATACCTGTGCAGTTTATTCTATAATGAATGACAAAATTTCTTTAGTCTGTGACAGAGTTGGTGTTTAAAAAATCCAGATGGAATGTATGAATAAATTGCAAATAAATTCTACGATGTATGATTCATGAGAATAGACTCTCTGAATTACTGTATTTACCTGGCATACACTATACTTTACCTGACATATGCCCCAAAATATTCATAAAATGAAAGGTAAGTTTTAAAGATTTGAGTCTGCAAGAATAGATAACTTGGCATTCTAAACATTGGCATCAGTAAAACATTTTAGTCCAATTTTGTTTAGGTGGAATTATTTTAATCCTTTAATGTTTTCCATAAGACATTTTATAACTTTTAATAACATACTTGATTATTTTCTGAGCACTGTGAATGTTTATAAACTTCGACATCATAAATTCTCATAACATGGAATAAAGACTTCAGATCACTGTCATGTGCAGAAAAGAAATGGTTGTGGGTTTCCATAATGGCCAAATTAATTTAGCCTCCCATGAACACTGCATTTTTTCTTCTCTTCCTCCTCCCTGTTTTTGTCAATTTTTTTTTTCTTTTTGATAATTGTGCTAACTGGGGTGAGATGATAACTCACTGTGCTGGAAGGAGGCAATTTCAGCTGTTAGAGTTTACATTATTTACCAGAGATGGAAATATAGGAAACTGATTTGAAAAATTACAAGTGGTCATTGTGAAGGTAGGGATACTTCATTTTAAATTTTCTTGAGACACTGTTGGTTGACAGCTTGGGTCAGATAATTCTTGTGGCAGCTGGGCTGTGCATTATGACATGGTTAACAACGTCTTTGCCTATTACTTACTAGGGAGGTCAATAGCCAATCCCCTGTTGTGACAACTAGGCATTGATGAATGTTGCTAACTGCATATATATGTTCACTAAAAATTTATGTGTCTATAATTTAATTTTTAAATATTTAAAATATTTTCTAATCTTAACATTTATTTCTGAAATATGATTATTTGAACAGTATTTTAATCAATATCCTATGAAAACCTGATCCAATTATAATCTTAGGGATGCATGAAAATAGTGCAGTTAAAAAATTTTACATATAGATTTTAATGCAAAATTCCATGGGTTTAAAAATGAAAGCCATTAAAATTTTGTTATTTATAGTTATCTTTGAAAAACTGGAATACAACCAAGATATATTCTTAGATCAAAGAAGGAAACTGTCCAAGAAACAATTTTTAGTTCATAAAAGCAATCAAAATTGGTTGAGTACTTAACAGCAAAAAAAAGTCCTTGCCATTAGGCTATAGCTTATATTGAACTAAATATGTTTCATTAAATAGCATTAAATATAAAAATGAGGATGGAAGAGTCCTAAGCTAATTCACATTGAAATGGATAGTTTTTGGAGCAGCTGAAAAGTGGGCACAATAATTCTTACCTCATTCAATGAAGCCTCATAATTTCATAATACCACATAAACCACTTTGGAGCAAACTAAAGAAGAACAGAATGGTTTTCAATGAACAATCATTAAAAGAATTAATATCAAGGAAGATATTGTAGTTTCCAAAGCAGGAGAAAACATTTCATGTCCCTTTATTGGAGGTTCTTCTGATCCATCCGTTGCTTCCTTTTGGCCAAGAAAATCAGTCAGTGGATGTTTGTGTTTCCAAAATTACGTAGATGAACAAAGTCCTTTGTAATCTCAAAAGTACTAGTTTTTACTCTATATGATGATAGGCTTAGAGATTTTTCCACAGTTTATTTCAGTAGACCTGTTGAGTTAATATCTGGCATATTTTTAGATTGTAACATGAATACTCACTTTCACTGGGCACAGTCGTAGCATGGACCAGATGAAGAAACTTTATTGCAGCTACTCTGACCAATGAGAATAACAAATTAAAAATTAACCACAAAAAAATTAGTTCTCACTAAATCTTTAAAGAGAAAGAACTAGTGACACAAAATCTTATTCAACAAATAAAATGCTACAGTAACTGAGCACTATGGAAGTTCTTTCTCATCTTCTCTCTTACCAGTGTAGTGCTGTCAGCAGTTATAGTCATGTTTAAAAGAAAGGATGAAGAATTTACTATTAATCTAGTTTTCTAGAAACACTAACACTCCCTTTTATAATCAATTTTCCTGGTTCTTGAAGTCATATAAAAATGAAAATTTCCAAAAAATTTAAAACACTTTGGCCCAATGATCCTACTAACATTTAAAATCTTCATTGTTGGAACTGAAACCAGCCCTACTCCCCTAGCTGCATCTTTAACTTCCATAGCTAAATCCACGACCACCACTAAGCTATGGAATCTGCAACCATCAAAATCTTCCCAGTGTGACTTTCCCACAATTATGGACTGATTCTAAAATCTAAGCTTACAGACAACAAATGAATTAACTGACTCATAACCTTGCATTTGGTTGCTACCTCCATCATCACTACAGTGTAATACATGGTCATCAATGCTATAAACAAGCAAACTTAGAGGACCTTCACCACATAGTTGAACATAAACACTGTTATTACCAATAACATAAAATTGAACATAAAACTGTTACTACCAATACAATAAGTGAGCTACCCCTATCATGATATTGAAACCTCCAGAATCTACCAATTGGCAATTTACATGCTAAATGGCTAACTGCTACTACTATAGAATAGTGTCACCACTGATATCACAACCTGGTACCCTGCTGACCTAATTACAGGTTTTATCATCATAACAACTGGTCTATGGTTACTATGAGCATAAATACTCTTTCAGTACTGAATCCTTTTTGGAAGATCGGTATTTCATATTTTAGATGCCTCTTCTGCTCTCTCCAGGATCACTCTTTGGCACTGGGGAGGATGGTGGATCCCTGACTTTCTGGTCTTTGAATTTATTT